GCTCCCAAATGTACTGAAAAAGTACCACAAATTTGCTTTAATGTGGAAAGTCTGAAAAATTCCACTAATGGTAGAGCATCTATCAAATTTTTGCTTCCTGTATGAATTTTTATATTTTATTGCTGCAATGACAGAAGTCATTCATCTACAGAATGAAATTAGAAATGACTATTTTCTACATTAATAGCTTACTAGTTGAATTTACTTTACAGTTAAGAATAATACGGTTTTTACACATGGCAGCTTACCTTGTTTTTACTTGCAAACAAAATTTCTGAAGCCAAACTATGACAGTGTAGTGATGGAGAAATACATAAACTACTTATAAAGAATATTTAGCATGTGTAGGTGGTTTGAACCACAACTAATTTTACCACCTGTACCTCAAAGAACACCAGGGGTTTCATCTGACTGTATCTTTAAAATCTATAGCACTATTTAGAAATGAAAAGTTTAGGCATACTAGATTTTCCTTCAAAAATCTGCTTTTATATGCTACTTCTACTTTTCATAAAACTGTTGTTTTCTCTTAATTTTGTGAATTCATGATTCCTTTGTTCATTTACTCACTGAACCAATGTACTCATCACATGCAGTGTAGGACAGATGCTAAAGATGACATTACTTCTCCACTTAGGAATTCCAATAAAATAGGGAATAAAGGACAAGTAAGCAAGTAACTACTATGCCAAACTGTACTGAATACTAATGATGTGTTACAATGCTCAGAAGAGAGATTAAACTAGCTTCTGAGCTAAATCTTGAGGGATGAGTAACGATTTTCCCTTTTAAAAACTGGGACAGACCAGGGAGCAGTACCAACACTCAAAGTGGATAAGACATGAGCAGAGTTAAGACAGCTATGCTCTATTGTGTGTTTACTACATGTCAGGCAACATTTATGCTTACAGCAATTTAAGCAGAGATACTTCCGTTATATCCCCACATTTCAAAGGATACTGAGGCTGAGAGATTAAATAATTTACCTGAGGTACTAGATTTGGACTAGCATGCAGGTCTCTTTGAATTCAAAGCATGTTAAACAACAGTATATATAGGGAAAGTCAGAACTATTTAGGTTAGAATGGAATACGAGGCCATTGAAAGTGGGAATACCACTTTCAAGAGCTGGCATTGATGGAGGAGCATTGGAGTTGCAAGCAACTGTAAGTTTGGGAACCGAAAAATGACATATTAAAACATGGCTTAGATATATGAAATTGGAGGTATTAGTCTAGGAATTTTGTAATAAAAGCCTAGCAGTGGCAAATTCAACAGAAGGGAAGGACCCGGTATGATACATTCTTCTAACCCTACTCTTCTTCCTTTGGCTTTATTTCTTCCTTATCTGTGTAGTCACAGAACACATACAATCAATCTGTATTCTGTACACATAGTAAAATTTTGTTACTAAACAACAGTAGTTAATAACACAAATAACAACAGTCTGGACAACTAAGAGGTTATAAACCAAATAATATAAATGAATTAACTTTTCAAATAAATTACTTGTGTATGACACATTTTGATGACAGAAGTGACAAGACTTAGAAAACTGATTTTAAGGTACAGAGCACAAGGAGAAGAAAGATAAAGCTGAGGTTTAAAACCTGGATGGCTGGAATAATGGGAATAGAGAAATAAAGAGAAAAATGTGCAGGATGAGACAGATTTCTGCCCCTTTTTGTGTAGGGGTAAGGGGAGGGAGTTTATGAACTGACTTTCAGCAGTTTCCATTTGAACACATCTCTTTGTCTCATGGGAAAAGGACCATCAGATAAAAATGTATGACCAATGCTCAAGAAAGAAGTTAGAGCTGAGCTATGTACTCCAGACCTATCTACAAAGATACTAGAATTAAAGCTATAGGAGTGGCTCACCCTAATCGTTAGGGGAAGTTGGAAGGAGTGACGGGTAAAAACACTCCTTTCCAACCAATAACGAAGAGTCTTTTTCCTGGAGCTTGGAGTGACTTCCTGGATTTCTCACCTAGATAGGGGTCTGGGAATGGTTTTTCTTACTTGAGCCTTATACCACAAGTTTATATAATTTCAAATTCACAGAAAGGCTTTACTAACTAAGGAATGGAAAACTTGAACTGTTTGGTCTAGAGTTTCTGTAATTACGTAAAAAACTCAATGGGGCACACTACAGGAAATGAGTAATTTTAAAGAACTTCACTGTGCTTCTTCAGATAATTTTGTTTCCCATTAACCCAGTGGCCAAAGGTGAAAAGCTTATTAAATTTCATAGTGGTATCCTCAAAAAGCAATTGTACATACATGATTTTAAAAAGTAAAGATATCTACATTAATTTCTAAAATGCTTTCTACTTAGGGCATATATGAAACTATACTAGTTTCATAAAACTTAAAAGTGTTAACAGAGAAGGCAAATAGTGACTCTGGCATTTTACTACACTGATGTACAGTGACTGCATTGGGGTATGTGGTGGGGACTTGATAATATGCGTAAATGTAGTGACCACATTGTTTTTTCATGTGAAACCTTCATAAGAGTGTATATCAATAATACCTTAGTAAAAAAAAACATATGTGTTAAACAATAATAAACTTTGGTCTAAAACAAAGCACAAAATAAATTTAGAACCCAACACTATTCAATGTTTGGTATTTAAAATTTTTATTAAAAACAAAAGAACTATTGTTTCTTTTTCAAAATAAGCTAACAATTTAAAAACAAGGAGATAAACCCAGAGAGTTCCCATCATCAACTGTTAAGGTAGTTTATTGTCACAAGAGCAACACATTGGAGTCAGACAAACTCGGGTTTAAATACGACCTTTGCCACTTTCTACTTATATGTCTTTGGGTGAATTAAAGCTTTTGAAACCTTATTTTACTTATCTCTCAAATGGTAATAAAACCTATTCCAAACTTACAACAAATTAACTTATGTCTTGTCTAACTGAACCAGGCATATACAAAGTATAGTACTACATAATTCTCAAGAGCTTCCCCTTCCTTAGATCTGCAATCAATAATGAAAATTCCAAAAACATAAGTATTAAAAGCTTATTTTTGAAAATTACAAACAAGGTGGGAGAAAGAGTAATATGATTTAAATACTAAATTAATAATATCACCTTTAAATCCTTTCTAATCCCGTATCTAATGTCCTCCTCCCAAAAGATGAGAAGAACATTTAGATAACTAAGATGACAATTGAACCCAAAAGTTTGGTCAGTATTTTTCTTAAATTACTAGATACTGCAATGAAATCTCTATGTAAATATCTACAGAAAAGTCTTACAAAAACTCGAACTAAAAACAAAAACATCAAATTCCTTCAAATTAGAATTTTCATTTATCTACCCTTAAAATGTGTTGGGCAAGCTTAGAGAGTAAGATACCCTCCTCCCCACTTAGTACCCTGAGAGTGCCAGATAATAAGGAATCTTGTCATCTCATTTCGAAAAATCTTTGCTACTTTAGGCCTTTACAAGACATTACAGGTCTATATTAAGGCGAACACCGAGTACTCGCTCAACTTGATTTCTAGCCACTTGATCTACTAATCAACACTTCAAAACGGTAAAATAAAAACATAACATTCTTTTAAAAATTTTTTGGCACTACTTAATTTTGAATGTGCGTGTGAGCCTGCATACATTTTCAGTTACTAATTCATGGTTATTTACCAATATTACACGTGTGAATACCAACTTTTGTGTATACGGGATCTGCCTACCAGGTCCGCGAATTAGGGATCATGGAGCGACCTTATTGCTCTCCCCATTGTGTCGTTTTATTATCACCTTCACAGAACAGAGAAAAGGATTTCCAAAATTGAAGATGAGACCCACACATTCACATGAGGAAGGTGACAGAATATTTCGGTGCAAAAAGACAGAATATAAAGACACTTGGAGCAGAATTCCAACTGAAAATATCCTCAGGCTTACATTAGGATTTCTTAAACACCACGATGTGTTTGTGTTTCACTGTACTGCTTTGGAACTCTTAAAACATGAACATTGTTAAATTAAGTGTAGACACATCAAAAGCTGTAACTATCTTATTCAGAGTATGTCAGTTACTTCTGAGTCTGAGAAACGTCAAGGTTCACAAGTAGGGTCCCCTCCCCCATATTGGGGAATGGGGCCTCACACCCAAAGGAAAACTGTGAATAAGAGAGTAGTTCAATGATCAGATTTCTTATTTTAAATGCCTGAGAATTTAAGTCGTTCACTTGGTTCCAATGCTGTCACATCATCTAAGATACAGTGAAAGGAGCTACACAATCTCCCTCCTCCAGAAGAAGTCCAAGCAGGACGATGGGGCGCCACCAAATCCGGCCCTCAGGGGGGCTGCTGACAACCTGGGCCGGAAACAACTATGGGGTGGGGGTAGCTTTCTGTGAGCGACTCTGCTGCCTCGCAGGGAACACGGGAGATGCAAAGCCTACAGCTTAAGCCAAAAAAAGAAGAGAGACTTTCACGGGGAAAGGAAAAAAGCGCAGAGAAACAGGAAAGGAAGCATTCTGCTTCTGGGAGAACTGAAGGCCTGCTTTCCAAGCGATTTTTGCCCTCTTACCCCCTCACCCGGCTACACTCCCCAGCCAGGCCGTGGGGCTGAGCCCTGCCCTTGGGCCGCTCGCAGGCCGACCAGAGAGCCCCGCAGCCCCCACACTCGGTGCAGGGTCCCGCTGCCAGGCGGAGGGACCGGGTCCCCGGCGGCCGCCGCCCTCGCCGCCCCCTGCCCCCGCCCGCCGCGCTAGGCGCCGCCGCCCGGCTTCCACTTCCTATTTTCGGAGCACACACCCTACAAGGAGCGGAGCGGAGCAAGCAGGCCCGGCAGAGCTGCCCCCGCGCGGGGCCTCGGGTGGCCGACAGGGGCAGGCACTAGGGCGCAGCGGAGAGAGGGAGGAAGGGCAGCTGAGCGCGCAGACCAGTGTCCTTCTCCGGCCCCGCTCCAGGCAGATGCGCCGGGCTCTGCCGGCTCCGGACAGACGGGCTTCGCCACCCCCGCGGCTCTTACCTTCTCGTCATCAGACAACTGCTCCTCCAGATCCGCCATTTTCCTTCTGGCGACAAACGGCGGCGGCGGCGGCCACCTGACTTCCCCCTTTCCGTACGGTCCTCTGCGCCGCGCGCCCCCGCCGGGGGAGGGGCCCGCAGCCCAGGCCACCGCGCACGCGCCCAGGGAGCCCCGCCTCCTTCCACCGGGCTCTGAGGGCCGGAGCGCGGTTGTGCGCGTGCGCGGGCGTCTCGGCGGCCCGGGAAGGGGGAGGTGTCTCCTGCTGTCAGCTGCGGGCATGCCAGAATCCCGAGTGTGGGAATCTGCTCTCCAACGACCATATGGACTCGGTCTGCGACAGAGTACATTCTGAGCCCTCGATTATGTTCCCATTAAGCCCTGAACACTACCAACTAAAATGTGAAAAAGTGTACGAATAGAGGTTCTTTAAACATTTTTTTTAATTACTAGAAAAATATTCAGCTTTCATTAAAATGTAATACAACCAAGTCCCTTAATTGAAAAATGCTCTTGACATATTCTTTCATTAAAGAAACGTTAATTGGTCCTTTATTGTGTGCAGGGTACTGTGTTTGCTTTTGAGGATGTACAATGTTAAGCAAAAACCAGAGAAACCTCTGTTCTCAAGAGGCCAACTGACTATTCCTTAAACACAATATTGAGCAGTTGAGGAAGGCACTCTACTATTGCAGGGGAGTTCAAATTTATGTGCGACATAGATCTTAGTCTGCTGAGGATTGCCAGATTAAATCACAGAGCCCAGTAAAATTTGAATTTCAGGTAAACAATATATATTTTAAGTTGAAATATGTCCCCTGAAGCATTTGAGATATACTAAAAAATTATTCATTGTTGTCAAGTTTTACTGGACATCCATTACTTTTATTTGCAAAATCTTGGAATCTTTTAAAACTTCCAAGTTTAACTAGAAACTAAAGATGTAGTCAAAGCTGTATATATGAATTGGTTAGAAATCTTGTTATAATGCAGTTGCTCATTTAGTAGGTCTGGGATGGGGCTGGAGAATCTGCATTTCTAAAAAGCTCCGAGGTGACACCAGTACTACGGGTCTGGAGCCCACACTTCGAGTAGCAAGGCCTTAGGGTTTAGATAGGAGTTAAAACTTTAATCACCTAAACGAATACAATGTATATGTCAATTATAGCTCAATTAAAAAAAGTTTTTAAAGTTTTATTCAGTAGAAAATGAGAAGCTCTTGACAACTTTTGAAACAGAGACATGACATCAGAAATAGCGAGATGAATTTGACACCTGCATGTGTCACGTGAGAGTCCCTTAAAAAGTTCAAATAACTATTCATATGCAAAACACTATTATAACCAATTTACTGGGTGCTCATAGTGTGTGAATCATTGTTTCTTCTGGATGGAAAGCACACAGAATCCGGGCTATTGAACAGCTCATAGTCCAGGAAGGGGAAACTTGCTGACACATGCGGCGAAAAAGCAGGTGTCTGTTGAGTGTAAATGCTGCAGAGAAGGCATAATAGAGAATAAACCACACAGTTTGGCCAAGGACCTCACTGGATGCCAATAAATAACATGTTTACTGTTTGTAAGTCCTTGCTTCACTGATTTCTCACTGCAACCTCAAGAAGTAAGGTATTTATAAAATTTATAACCATTTTACAAGAGAAAACCTAGGCTAAATATTTGTCCAAGACTGCATGCACTTAAGTGACTAAGTTGGGTTCAGACCCCAGGCCATCTTATTCTGTATTCCATTGTCTTTCCTCTTCAAAATCTCTCTTTGTCTCTCTCTAAAGCCTAGGCACTCTCCACCAAATAAAACCAGTACTTTCTCATCCCATCAGTTTTATTCACCACCACCTGCTGCATCAGCATTATTTCTGGGGTATTTTTCTTCTGCTTTTTGATTTCTGTTTACTTAGCAGCACCTTATATCAATAACTCATACACATTGGGTACTAAGTAAATGTTGTTGCTTGACTGATTGGCTGCTCTTTTCCTCTAGAAACCTCACCCAAATCTGGTAATGTTTTGCAATAATTTGAATCAGACTATGTTTATAATAGTAACCTTGGTGATATTTACATGTGGCTCCCCATAGTGACACAGCCAGCAATTATGCATAATTTCTGATAATCCTTTCAAGAACTTCCCAATACCACCTTCTAGATACAGCTAAAAGGACTTACAGAATTCATGAAACCTAGGAATTCTGGAAAGATTTCAAGCCAGTACACAAAATAGGTATAAAAATTGAATGACCATTATATGACTTCAAGTAGAAATGTACTGGTATTCTTGACAATCAGTTATTTTATGATGTAGAGAAAAGAAATAAAATATTCCTCCCCCAAAACAATTCTACCTATTAAGTTAGAATTTCTACTCTTTTCTCATTTAACTTCTAAACTCACCTTTCCTCTACGTATTAGTGGTATAATACTGACCTTCCCAATTAACTACCCAAAATCTGATTTTTTTAAAAATTCTTCCTTCTGTAAGGTTTGTTTTTAAATTACTTGTGGGCTTAGTCTATTTTCCTGTGGATGTGCTCTATGTCCTCAACTAATTTTAAGCTTGTCAAAGTCAGAGGTTTCCTCATTTCATAAACTACCAGTATTAGACAACTAATATTTGGTTGGTTGTTACTCTCTCATGATCAATTAACATAACTGGTTTTAAAAAATGTCCTTTAAGGCAGCAGCAAAGTGTCAAGCTTCATGTATATTTTAAAAGTAATTCTCTTTCTAAATCAAATAATTGCCTTAACTTTTGGCTCCTTGTAGTTGAGTGTGTCCTATTTCCTCAGCTGTATTTGTAAACATCCACACAAGTGACCCTCTTGTAGAAGCCTGACATTCTAGAGGTGCCAAGAAATTCTCGAAGAAAGTCATTTACTAATTCCTCCTCCCTCCTGAATGTGCTGTCTTTCATAATTTGGCTCATACACACCTCACCAAACCTGCCTCTGCCATTGCCCTAAATGCACACATCACTGAAACATACAAAGCTATCTACTTACACATCATGCTCTCTCATGCCTCTGTTGAAGCCCTTTCTGGAATTTCTTTGCCTTTTAAAATTTGGTTCAATTATCCCTTTTTTTCCATGAAACCCACATTGAATTCTCTAGCTAAAACTAGTAATTTCTTCTTCTAGATTCCCATAGAAAGTTTTCCATTTATTTTTGCCATGTACTTTAATGGTAAGGTACAGATTTTATCTTCAGCAAATCCTGGGTTCTGATCTTAGTTAACTGGGTGACTTACTCTGGAGGCTTTGGTTTCTTCACCTATACTTTGAGGTTAGTAATGGTACCTCCCTCATTGGACTTCTGTGAGGATTTAATGAGATAGTACAGACAGAGTGCTTAGCACCCAGTGCAGGCATTAGCAAAAGTCTCAATACATGTTAGCCATTATCATCATATTATAATACCAATCCACTCCTTGAGAACATAGCCTATGTCTTACTGAGTTGTCTGACAAATACAGAGTCTGACACATGGGTACTTAAAAATCTTTGTTGGCATACATATTAACTGAATGTCTCTTTCATGTCACATCTCTAAATGGGAGCTGAAAAATTGAGCTAGCCCCCCATATGTGATTGATAGCATCCCCTAAAGTGTGACTCTGGAACTCCAGGAGAGCATTTTCCCCAAAAACCCCCAAATACTCCTATCCTTTACTATGCCATATTTAGTCACCACTTAATACTGAGTTGATTCCTGCTTTGAATTTGTCTGTCACTGTAAGTTGAAGCCTTTAGCATCTTCACACAATGTCCCAAATGAAGTACAGGACATGGGGAGTGTCCGAGGTGATCCTTTAGGGTGAGGCAAGGAAATACTAAAGCTTCCATTTATTTCTATTTACTTATTTGGATTATTATTACAAAAAAGATATATAAAAAATATGGTTTACTCCTTCCAAATCCCATTCCCTTTCCTTTTTCCTTTTTCCCACAGGTAACCACTAACCTGAATCTGATGTTTATCATTCCTACGCATGTTGGTACTTTTTCAACAAAGGACTATTTCCTTTTCATCTTTTTTTTACCCACTTAATGTGGTATCCAATTCAAAAAGCACTTATGGAATGAATTCATGAATATGATTTCTTTGCATAGTCTTGAAAACAATGTGGATAGAGAACATTAGACTAATTTCTCACTTAAAAAAAAAAATCTCCCTATATGGCAAACATAAATTTTGGGGAATGAGTGAAAAATTAAGTTGGAAAGGTGAAGCAACAAAATAAACAGATTTGCTGATAATAAATGAAAAGATAGATTTTTTACCCTTAATGTCTGATAATACCTTTAACTCTTATTTGGACTAAGTAATAGCACAATAGCAACAGAGCAGATAAAGAAATTTGTCATTTGTGCTTCCCCAAGCCGCACCAACCTATTCAACTGCGTTTTGCTAACTCGAGTCTAATCCAAAGAATTGCAGGAGTACCTGCTCAGATTTCTCCCTCCCAGCTCTGTGGAGGCCCCACAATAATTCGTGCACATTCAGAAAGGCTTACCCCTCACTCTTCCTCTGCCTTTTGGCCCTTGGCCATTATCACCTGTGCTGCTCCCTGTCTCATCAGACATCTCCCAGAGCTGTAGCCCTGATGTCTTTCCTCCGTTCATCATGCTCCCCTCAAGGACATACAGCTCAGGGTTCATGTCACCACCTCTTACTCTTATGACTTTAGCTGCACCCATTGCGGGGAGATGCCGGATGATCTCCAGTCACTGTCCCGGGCTGTCGTTGAGGGGGAACCTGTTTTCTCCTGTGAGCTGCTTCTGGTATGGAAAGCCGTGGCAGACACTGTTAAGTACTCTGACCAGAAGCTCCCAGACCACTTAGACTATTTCCATGCCTCAGAGCTTCTTGCATCTGCTTCACACAGTCAGAAATTCTCCTTTGGAGACTTTCTTATGCTACTGGGGCTACTTTGCCAGCAAGCAGAGAGCTGGGAGTTTAGGTCTGGTGGAGAAGCTCCTTAGCTAGCAGCTGGCAGATGATGGAGCACGAAAACCCAGCTCTGTAGCCTCAGGTCAGAACAACTCTGAGATGTAATTTACATTTCGCATTTTCCCCGAGAAAGCCAAGCTCAGTTTGCCTCTTTCCCCTTTCCTGGGAGTTGACTGAGGGATTCTGAAAAATTGTCAGATTGGGAACACGAGAACAGCAGTAGAAAAGCAGCTAAGGTTTGGCACATGAGGGCGCTCTGGTGCTCCAGCTTGGGAGTGGGAGGCCAGCACCTCATCAGGGTTGGTGTAGCCTTGAGGATGAGCTCTAAAATA